AGCATCTACGTTAGCATCTACGTTAGCATCTACGTTAGCATCTACGTTAGCATCTACGTTAGCATCTACATTAGCATCTACATTAGCATCTACGTTAGCATCTACGTTAGCATCTACGTTAGCATCTACATTAGCATCTACGTTAGCATCTACGTTAGCATCTACGTTAGCATCTACGTTAGCATCTACGTTAGCATCTACATTAGCATATACATTAGCATCTACATTAGCATCTACGTTAGCATCTACGTTAGCATCTACGTTAGCATCTACGTTAGCATCTACTTAGCATCTACGTTAGCATCTACGTTAGCATCTACGTTAGCATCTACGTTAGCATCTACATTAGCATCTACATTAGCATCTACATTAGCATCTAATTAGCATCTACGTTAGCATCTACATTAGCATCTACGTTAGCATCTACGTTAGCTTCTACGTTAGCATCTACGTTAGCATCTACGTTAGCATCTACGTTAGCATCTACATTAGCATCTACGTTAGCATCTACGTTAGCATCTACGTTAGCATCTACGTTAGCATCTACATTAGCATCTACGTTAGCATCTACGTTAGCATCTACGTTAGCATCTACGTTAGCATCTACGTTAGCATCTACATTAGCATCTACAATAGCATCTACGTTAGCATCTACGTTAGCATCTACGTTAGCATCTACGTTAGCATCTACGTTAGCATCTACGTTAGCATCTACGTTAGCATCTACGTTAGCATCTACGTTAGCATCTACATTAGCATCTACATTAGCATCTACATTAGCATCTACATTAGCATCTACGTTAGCATCTACATTAGCATCTACGTTAGCATCTACGTTAGCATCTACGTTAGCATCTACGTTAGCATCTACGTTAGCATCTACATTAGCATCTACATTAGCATCTACATTAGCATCTACGTTAGCATCTACATTAGCATCTACGTTAGCATCTACGTTAGCATCTACGTTAGCATCTACGTTAGCATCTACGTTAGCATCTACGTTAGCATCTACGTTAGCATCTACATAGCATCTACAATAGCATCTACGTTAGCATCTACGTTAGCATCTACATTAGCATCTACGTTAGCATCTACGTTAGCATCTACGTTAGCATCTACGTTAGCATCTACGTTAGCATCTACGTTAGCATCTACATTAGCATCTACATTAGCATCTACATTAGCATCTACGTTAGCATCTACATTAGCATCTACGTTAGCATCGTCAGCTACAACCTACAACGTTGTGTCTCTCCTTTTGCCTCATGTTTATTGAACACTTTTCCTGTAAAAATAAAATAAAACCACACTTTTCAGCGGTGTGTGTTTTGCTCGACAAACACTCTGTGAATCTGGGAAAGAAGTGAGGTTCGTGAAAACAGTGAAATATCTGCACAGTTCTGTTGCTCCCAATCAGTTGCTTTTATTTACAGAGCACGTAGTAACATTAGCCCGAAACACACGTGCTAAATAACAGAGCACGTTGAAAAACATAACGCTGCAGATTGTTCTGTTTTCACGTTTTGCACATTTTTAATCCAGCACTTGGTCCAGACCACAGGGCCTTATTTGAAACCTCCCAAAAAAGTGAAGTTCCTCGTCTGAGAGTCCCAGATTTTTTAAATAGGCTAATACTAACTCATGCTAGTAAACAGTGTGTTGCTATGCTAACTAAGTACGTTTTTATTCACAGCACATAGCTCCTTTCACAAAGTGCTTCATAACCGTGAACATTAGTCTTTCACTCCACACAGAGATGGAGCCGGTCGACCACAGAAGGCACTGTCAGACCTACTGTATGTTTTTAGTGGTAGCGGAAACTGGAGCACCTGGAGGAAACCTTCGCAGACACACGGGGAGAGCATACATTCTCCACTCAGAAAGGACATGTTCCCACTGGGATTCGAAACAGGACCTTATTGCTGAGAAGCGAGAGTGCTAACCACTCAGCCACCGTGCCTAATAGCGCTTTCTAGGACCAGTCTAGGACCAGCGTCTTGGAGAACGTTGGCCTTGGAACATGTTGGTTGCTAAGCGACCAAAGACATTTGAAGTACATTCACATGAATGGTAGAACTTCGTAGAACGATATTAGATCAAATAATGATACAGAACAAGTTCTGAAGACCACACATGAACATGAGATGAGTTATTACACTTCCAAAACTAAACGCAGTCAGATTGACTGAGTTCTAGTTCTAGAACAGAGGCATCAATAACCTCCACTCAAAACATGTTTTCTACTGTCGCTGCAGAGTAAGACCACAGACACATGTGGACCATCTGGGACTGATGGTCCACACGCTGGTCTATGCTCTGGTCTCTGTTTCTGGTCTTTCTCTGGTCTCTCTGGTCTCTGCTCTCTCTGATCTCATGGTCTCTGGTCTCCCTGGTCTCTCTGGTCTCTGGTCTCCCTGGTCTCTCAGGTCTCTCTGGTCTCTCTGGTCTTCTGGTATCTCTGTTGTCTTTGGTCTCTTGTCTCTCTGGTCTCAGGTCTCTCTGGTCTCAGGTCTCTCTGGTCTCAGGTCTCTCTGGTCTCAGGTCTCTCTGGTCTCTCTGGTCTCTGGTCTCTCTGGTCTCTGGTCTCTCTGGTCTCTCTGGTTTCTGGTCTCTCTGGTCTCTCTGGTCTCAGGTCTCTCTGGTCTCTGGTCTCTCTGGTCTCAGGTCTCTCTGGTCTCTCTGGTCTCAGGTCTCTCTGGTCTCTCTGGTCTCAGGTCTCTCTGGTCTCTGGTCTCTCTGGTCTCTAGTCTCTCTCTCTGGTCTCTCTGGTCTCTGGCTCATGGTCTCTAGTCTCTCTCTCTGGTCTCTCTGGTCTCTGGCTTCTCTGGTCTCTGGTCTCTCTCTCTCTGGTCTCTCTGGTCTCTCTGGTAGCTCTGTCTCTGGTCTCTGGTCTCAGAGCTGCAGACTGTAATTAAGCAGAATCTGAATCCATAGTTTTCTAAATGTGGAACTGGAATCTGCAGTGTTTTGTTTCCGGAGGAGAACAGGAAGTGACACCGCCTCGAGAGGAAGCACTGCTCTGAGTTTAAACACACAGAGATGGACCAGTCATTTTGACTGCTTTTTCCTTTAGAAGTGTCTTCCTCAGCTCATGGTCTTAACGTCGTGACTTTTTGTTTCTAGGTTTATTTCTGTGTCATTAATTATCACAATGTTTCACTTTACTGTTTCTCTGAGGCAAGTTTATTCATATAACACAGTTTATAAACAAGAAAAGAAACATTATAATTATAAATAATCACAGAACATTCAAAATATAAAATCCTTCAGTTTTTGCAGAAACAGAACTGTTTTTAACCTGGATTTGAACATTGACAGAGAAGAAGCCTGTCTCACATTATCAGGAAGACTGCCTGCCTCCTCATGTTTAGTCCTGACTCTGGGACCAGCAGGAGGCCAGTCCCTGTGCTCCTCAGAGTCCCAGCAGGAGGCCAGTCCCTGTGCTCCTCAGAGTCCCAGCAGGAGGCCAGTCCCTGTGCTCCTCAGAGTCCCAGCAGGAGGCCAGTCCCTGTGCTCCTCAGAGTCCCAGCAGGAGGCCAGTCCCTGTGCTCCTCAGAGTCCCAGCAGGAGGCCAGTCCCTGTGCTCCTCAGAGTCCCAGCAGGAGGCCGGTCCCTGTGCTCCTCAGAGTCCCAGCAGGAGGCCGGTCCCTGTGCTTCTCAGAGTCCCAGCAGGAGGCCGGTCCCTGTCCGTTTCAGTCCGTTTCCATGTGTTTAACCCTCGGCACAGACTCCGCTCGGTCCCATCTCGTGTCCATATTGTTGCGAGCTGATCAAAGCCTTCTCCAAATCACCAAAATCCCTGATGATTCATGGCTGCCGCGCACGCGCTTGGGAAGCCGCGCGCGACAGCCACGAGCACGCGCACCGCAGACAGAATCCGCGTGGGAAGCGCTGGAATGCAGAGGATTTCCTTCTGTGATCCGAGCGGAGACCAGGGCCGTGCGTGAAAGACCAGGGCCGTGCGTGAAAGACCAGGGCTGTGCGTGAAAGACCAGGGCTGTGCGTGAAAGACCAGGGCTGTGCGTGAAAGACCAGGGCCGTGCGTGAAAGACCAGGGCTGTGCGTGAAAGACCAGGGCTGTGCGTGAAAGACCAGGGCTGTGCGTGAAAGACCAGGGCCGTGCGTAAAAGACCAGGGCTGCGCGCGAAAGACCAGGGCCGTGCGTAAAAGACCAGGGCCGTGCGTGAAAGACCAGGGCCGTGCGTAAAAAAACAGAGCCGTGCGTCTACTTTAATTCGAATATGTGACACAATGAACTTGTCATTGTGAATAAATAAGAAGTTGTTTTATATAAATATTGTATACACTATAGTACATTTCATATTAAGAATGCAAAATGATTAAAAAAGCTCTATCTATAACTCGAGACCAGTGCCGCGTGCGTGCACAGAAACGGCGCACATCACGCTCGTGGTCTCTCATCCCCCTCTTTCCCCATGAACTGTATAAGTCATGTGCACTATTTAAGGAAGACGTCAAAACGCAAAAGTCTATTTCACTATTTTACTCAGTTCAATGTATTTGTGTCCGGCCCTATCACAGCAGTGACTTTACAAAGTTGTCGATTCTGCAACAACAGATCAGAAAACATCAGTTCGAACTCACGTATGATCCAGAGCGCGATGCTGTCCAGAAATATTAATACATGAATTTAAATGTTCCGGATCATGTCCTTAGACCCAACAGAAACTGATTATAAAAAAGAGAGAAACCTCGAGGCCAACATTGAGAGAGACCCTCTCCCAGAGGAACAGGCTGCAGATCCATGTGGTTAGAATGAAGTTATTAGATGTAAATAAATACATTTGATAATGATATGCGCAGGCCTTCGGTGTGACCTACATTTCACTGGTTAAAGAGGTTTTTGCTGAGTAGAAGTTTTACTCACATGAAAAACAAAGTCTTAAACAACTCAAATATAATTTATTTTAACAAAACACAAATAGTTTAACATGAAAACATAAATAGTTTAATCCAATAAGAACCTGGTTTCAGACGTAAACCACAAATCCCACATTTCCGCTGGAGACAAAATCGATCCCAGTCCTGTGCGTCTCAAACAGGGGTCCGCGGCTCGGTACAATCCACTGCGCTGTTTCCAAAAACGTTAAACGTGATTCCAAAGGCGCGCGAGCGTCCACGTCCTGCTCCTCCGCCGCAGACTGAAGCAGCCCGAGCCGGACCGGGCTATGTACCCGCGGCCCCTGCCCCAGTTTAGCACGGGCCATATATCAGGCCTATAAACCTGGGTTTTATTATGGCATTAAAACTACGGCCAAAAGCAGCAGCAGAGGAGCTGCTGTAAAACACAGAGCGGCTCGTTAAACAAAAAATAACTTTTAAATATAGATATAAAGATTATATAGAGATTATAAAGATTAAAGACATTATAGAGTGGTTTAAGAGTTATAATAATAATACTAATATTAGTGTTCGCCACGTTCTGTTTACTTTAATAATGAGGGATTTCAGAAGTTTCTCTATAAGATATAAAATCTATATTTTATTTAAAAACGTGACAATTTACAACAATTAATACATCCATTCATTAAAAGGGAAGTATAAAAAACAACAATAAACACAAATTTAAAAAGTTGTTTTCCTGTAGCTACAAAACTAAAATAGATCTGAGTTTCCACAAAACTTAAGGCAAATAAGATAAAAAGTAATATATATTTATTGTATTACTGTTTTAGTTTTTTTCCTGCAAAAAATAATTTATATTTAAATCTCTGGGAACAGGTCTGACCAGGGTTTAATAAAGTCTAAAGTCTATTCACCTCCTTTTCCTCTTCTGAATAACCTGAATAAACAACACAAAACTCTAAACAATAAATATCTGTTTTTTTTATGTAAAATCCAGGACTAATGTTTATATGAAGCCGTTGAACATCAATGTGGAAAATGACATGTCTCATCCTTAAAACACAACAGAACCATCACACGTCTCCTTTAATCTGCCGTTCAAACGCACAGCATTAATAATTCACGCGCGTCAAAGTGCGTGCGTGCGTGACTCTGGAGCTAATGGTGCCGTAAAGTCGGATTGATGCGCGCCTCACAACTCAGCACAAGTGGCTCCTGACAGGGCCCTAAATCCACCGAGCTCCGGTTCAGGAAGAAACAAACCCTAATCCTCTGTCTGTGCGTCTCTACGTCAACTCTCTGTGACGTCATCTGTCTGTGCGTCTTTACGTCAACTCTCTGTGGCGTCATCTGGCTGTGCGTCTCCACGTTACGACATTAAAATAGCCTTGAATGTACAGGTGTTTCAAAAGTTTTTGGCAAATACGGTTCTATGTGAAAAATAATGTGTTGTCTGAAGCAGGAATGTCCATCGTCAAGTCTAGAGGTTTAGACAGGACCTGATTCCTCGTTCTACAGTCTGACTCCTGGGTCTACAGCCGCCTGTCAGAGTGGTTCCTCTGGCGTCACTTCTCTGACAGTGTTGATCCTGCTCTGGACCAATGTCTCTGTGTTTGTCATTACTGCATTTCCTGTGTTCCAACGGTCTGATTTTCTGATCTGTTGATGGTGAATCCACAACTTTGTAAAGTCAGAGACGACTTTTGTTGTGACGGAGGGAGATCCACAAATATATGTAAACTGAAATGTACCCATTGTGGGACGAATAAAGGACCTTCTTTAGTTTGACCTCCGTGATCTAAACATGAGCAAAAACACAAAAAAGTACAATTATAACCTGGATTTAAGTCACGTTCAGAGCATTTTGGAAAATAAAATTCTCCATAATTTAGTTTAAAACCCGCTTCTGTTTTATATATTTGTATTTGCAGAATGTGAATATGTGACAATGTTCTCTGATTAGTCCATTATATTCTGTGTCTGGCCCTAAATCACAACAAAAGTCGTCTCGGACTTTACAAAGTTTTAAATTCTCCATACTGATCAGAAAATCAGACCGTTGGACCACAGGGCAAACAATAATACCAAACACAGAGACATTATTAAAGGTCCTGGATCATCACTGTCTCAGACCCGTCAGCAGGAACTAAACCCAAAAACCCAGAGTAAAAGTGGGAAAAACTGTCTTTTATTTTTGATCTTGATTTTTTCTTTTGATGATAATTTAAAATATGTTTCCGTCAGTAATTGTGAAAGCACGCAGGTGACGTGGAACAACATGACGTATGCAGAAAAGACTTTGTAATAACGTAAACAAAAAAACTATTTATGTGACTATTCTGCTCTGCTCTGATGAGAATAATGTCAGGCGGCTTCACAGTGGGCTCGCCACTCCACAAACCCGGCCTGTAGAAAGTATACATCGCTCCCTTTGGCTCTGTTTTCCAGCACGTCCTCTTTACACTTTCTAATTCCACTCACATAATTACACGTCGCTTAACGCACTAAATTTATGACGTGTTTTGGCTTTTGTAATTAGCTTCGTTACAAAAGGAAACAGCGCAGTGCATATCCGCGGCGGGCCATAGGTTACGAGCTCAATTTGAAGTTATTCCCATCAACAACTCCAAGTAATCCCGCTTTATCGCGCTTAAAAGGCCAGGATGACGCGCGCGGCTTATATACGGCGCGGCACGGCTCGGCATCAATCTCACACTGCCTCGTTTTGCATATTGCATATAAACAAGATCATTTATTCAGCGCAATCTATTACAGCAGCCGCGCGGAAGAGGACGATAGACCACGGCCTGCTGCTTTCAATGGGAGGCCGTGGTTCTGCAGGGATGGAGCTGCAGCTGGGGGCCCGCGCAGAGGGGGACCTCACGGAGAGGCCTGCACCCACACGTCCCAGCGTCACGCATTGGTCCGTACTGTACAGAGATTTGGTTTATGGTTTCTTTGGTTAATGACAGATATTACAATCACTGACTGCAAAAGGATCGAGCTGAAGCTGCTGACGTGAGCCCACCCTGACACCACATCACAATTTCTGTTTTTTTGTGTTTTTTAAGGCAGCAAAGTTAATTCCGTGATTGTCTAAAGCAGGGGTGTCCAAACATTTTAAAAAGAGGACCACTTTAGTTCACCAGACTAGTCCGGGGGCCGACATCACGGACTGAAAACCCGTCTTGACTGGCATCGGGCTGTTCAGAGATTTATGATGATCTATAACAGAGCTGAAGTTGGCTGAATGACACATGTTTACCATCTCACCAGCTACATTAGCACCATTAACGGAACTGACACAATCAAAAACCACGTCAGTAAAGTTAGAAAAAATAAAGTCAACGACGTCCTGGGATTTAGAACAAGGTCTGTATTGGCTGAGCTGAAGTTGGATGGATGACACAGTGAACTTGTGCTTATAATTTCAAAGACTACTTTGGGTTAACGAGGCAGAGGGCCACAAAAATGACACTGAGGGCCGCAATTGGCCCGCGGGCCTGAGTTTGGACATGCCTGCTCTATTTGTGACTATTAGACGCTTTTTGTGAATATTGCTCGTGCTTTTGTCATGTGACCGACTGATTTTAAAGAAAAGCAATGAACCCTAAAACAATCTGCTTTGAAACACGACCTAACACACACATCCAAATCCTGATCTCATTTTGGAGATAAGCGGACTCACTTTTTGAAACTTAAAAAAAATCTAAATATTGTTAAAATTGTTACACACATTTGTTTAGTGATGTCACACACAGAGCAGACAGAACACACCTGTGGCTCAAAAAGAGGAGACTTTGATCATTAAAGACTTTTACTCTACTCTACTCTACTCTACTCTCCCCTGATTGGTTTTGTTTCCGCTGGTCCAGTGTAACCAGTCCCAGGTCCTTCTTTAGTCCCTCCTGGTCCTGTTTCTATCCAGGCCGAGCTGGTGCTAAAGTGTTCTAACTGACAGTGATTGGCCAGAGTGCTGCTGGAAGCCATGGTTACCAAGACATTTCCACAGATTTGGTTTGTTGTGTGTTGGTCGCTATAGGATACGGTACCAGATACTACAGTGTAATAGAAACACAACCAGGTATAAGAAGAGTAGAGTAGAGAAAAGTAGAGTAGAGTAGAGTAGAGTAGAGTAGAGTAGGGTAGAGTAGAGTAGAGTAGAGTAGAGTAGAGTAGAGTAGAGTAGAGTAGAGTAGAGTAGAGTAGAGTAGAGTAGAGTAGAGTAGAGTAGAGTAGAGTAGATAGGGTAGAGTAGGGTAGAGTAGAGTAGAGTAGAGTAGGGTAGAGTAGAGTAGAGTAGGGTAGAGTAGGCAAAAGTAGAGAAGAGTAGGGTAGAGTAGGGTAGAGTAGAGAAGAGTAGAGAAGAGTAGGGTAGTGTAGAGTAGAGTAGAGTAGAGTAGAGTAGGGTAGAGTAGAGAAGAGAAGGGTAGTGTAGAGTAGAGTAGAGTAGAGTACAGTAGGGTAGAGTAGAGAAGAGAAGGGTAGTGTAGAGTAGAGTAGAGTAGAGTAGAGTAGAGTAGAGTAGAGTAGAGTAGAGAAGAGTAGGGTAGTGTAGAGTAGAGTAGAGTAGAGTAAGGTAGTGTAGAGTAGAGTAGAGTAGAGTAGAGTAGTGTAGAGTAGAGTAGGGTAGTGTAGAGTAGAGTAGAGTAGAGTAGGGTAGAGTAGAGAAGAGAAGGGTAGTGTAGAGTAGAGTAGAGTAGAATAGAGTAGAGTAGAGTAGAGAAGAGTAGGGTAGTGTAGAGTAGAGTAGAGTAGAGTAGAGTAGGGTAGAGTAGAGTAGAGTAGAGTAGGGTAGAGTAGAGTAGAGTAGAGTAGAGTAGAGTAGGGTAGGGTATAGTAGAGTAGAGTAGAGTAGAGTAGAGTAGAGTAGAGTAGAGTAGAGTAGTGTAGTGTAGTGTAGAGTAGAGTAGAGTAGAGTAGAGTAGAGTAGAGTAGAGTAGGGTAGAGTAGAGTAGAGTAGAGTAGAGTAGGGTAGGGTATAGTAGAGTAGAGTAGAGTAGAGTAGAGTAGGGTAGAGTAGAGTAGGGTAGGGTAGAGTAGAGTAGAGTAGAGTAGAGTAGAGTAGAGTAGAGTAGAGTAGAGTAGAGTAGGGTAGAGTAGAGAAGAGTAGGGTAGTGTAGAGTAGAGTAGAGTAGAGTAGAGTAGGGTAGAGTAGAGTAGAGTAGAGTAGGGTAGGGTATAGTAGAGTAGAGTAGAGTAGAGTAGGGTAGAGTAGAGTAGGGTAGGGTAGAGTAGAGTAGAGTAGGGTAGAGTAGGGTAGGGTAGGGTAGAGCAGAGTAGAGTAGAGTGGTCTAACAAAGACGTGTTTAAAGTTGACGTCTGAAACCACCGTAAAAGGCGTCACATACGTCTCCTTTTACGTGGGTCTTGTCGGCGCAGCTCCGGTCGTGCAGAATCTCCGCTGATTTACGCACCATTGACGCTATATCAGAGGACAAAGCCAGCGAGCCAATCAGACCTTCCCCCTGCTCCGGGAGCGCGTATAGCACTTTTTTAGCCCTCGTGCTTTTTAGTCTAAGTGAAGACCGCGCGTGCGTCAGGACTACTGCTGGATTATTATAAACTACATTTATAAAGAAGCGGCGGGACTTTTTATCACCACTATTTCTGACGCGCGGAAGAGAATGTCACTAGAATGGCCGCGTCTGGCGCTCTGAGCAACTATTACGTGGACTCCCTGATCACGGCGAGCCACGAGAGCGAGAACGAGCGGTACGCGAGCGTCAACGCGAGCGGCGGAGGCGGCGTGAGCGGCGGGAGCGGCAGACATCCCGGGATAGGCAGCGACACGCACGCGCTGCAGAAAACCAATCTGTCGGTGAGTGAAGAATTTCTGTTTCATTTGTGTGATGTGAACAGCCCCAAATCACAGCAGCAGCAGTGTCAGAGGACTTTACAAAGTTGTGGATTCACCAACGAGAGATCTGAAAATCAGACAGTTGGAACCGTAGGGAATGAATCGTGACAAACACATAATATATGACCCGGATCAAACTGTGCAAAAGTCTTAGAAACAGAAATGAATAATAAATGTAGTTGAATGATATGAACATAATTATGCAGGGCAGCCAGAAATGTGTAAATTAGTTTAACTTGAATTAATTGAAACAAAATGAATAAATATAGAAAAGTCAGTTGCGTTTGTTTTCACCAAGTCAAAGGCTTCGTGAAAAAATATGGTTACAAAAATCAATTCTTATTTATACAAAATAAAACCTTAAAACTCAGTGTTATAAATTATTTGTAGATTAATAAATAACAACATTAAGTGCATTAATCTCACCTGATTTTATTTCTGAATGAACTGAAGCGAGATCGCAGTGAAATTATGGATTTGAAATGAAACATGCTTCTTTAATTAAAATCGTAAAAAATATTAAGTTTCAAATATTTAAGGAGAATGTCTGACGCTGTTTTTGTTGTTTATGTAACCTTTTATTCATTTTTTAATTTTGTATTAATTTATATATTTCAGGCGAACACAGGAGCCTCACAGTTGCTATTATCGTAAAGAATTAAAATACTTGTAATAAAACATTAAATCACGGCTAAAGTTAAAGCGGCTCAGATCTGCTTCTGTTTGATCCGTGTCTTTGTTGAGGACCACCATAAAAGAACACGTTTTATAGCTTCAAGTTTAGTCCACGACACAGATCTGACAAATAACATTTTTATCTTATTTGAAGCGAGACTTTGTTGATGATGCGGTAAAAAAAACACACAAAGACACACATGGAAAAGTTAAGTATTTTTGTGAAAAGCCAGATATAATTCAATGTGTTTTTGTATCGCCCTAAATCACATCAGTAAAGTTTGAGTTAGGACTTTACAAAGCTGTCGATTCAGCAACGGCAGATCAGAAAAACAGGATAAAACACATAGAGGCGTTGGTCCAAAAAGAAACAGAATCATTAAGTCCTTAAAAGTTGATAAATGTAGTCCACTGATCTGTTTCAGCGCCAAACAAATAAATTTTAACTCCGTCTTGAGCAAATTTCTTTCATATTTTCTACCAATACCAACATTTTGCCGATTGTAGACACAGGAAAACAACTTTTTGACACGTTTTCCGATATTCCGAGATTTCAGTTTTTTGGAAATGAACTTCTCTAGTCTGTGTTTAGAGCTGAAGTTTTTTGGTTCAACAGAAAAGTCAGACACGAAGAACCACAGAAACGTACGAGAGGAACCTTAAATGTATTTATAGATATTATTCCACTTTGTGCAGTTACAAAGTTCGGTTCAGAGCGACACTTTTGATACAACGACAAAAAGTTTATGTTTTATATGTACTGAACCTCAAAAGGATCAGTGGAATTAAAATACACTTATAAACACCTTCCCCTTCAATGCATCATTAAATTACAGGCCATTCTTTATTTTTGCAGCACATTTGTTAATTTTGCCGCACATTTGTTAATTTTGCCGCACATTTGTTAATTTTGCCGCACATTTGTTAATTTTGCCACACATTTGTTAATTTCGCCGCTTATTTGTTAATTTTGCAACACATTTGTTAATTTTGCCGCTTATTTGTTAATTTTGCCGCTTATTTGTTAATTTTGCCGCACATTTGTTAATTTTTCCGCAAATTTTTTAATTTTGCCGCACATTTTTTAATTTTGCCGCATATTTGTTAAGTTTGCCGCACATTGGTTAATTTTGCCGCTTATTTGTTAATTTTGCCGCTTATTTGTTAATTTTGCAACACATTTTTTAATTTTGCCGCACATTTGTTAATTTTGCCGCACATTTGTTAATTTTGCCGCTTATTTGTTAATTTTGCCGCACATTTGTTAATTTTGCCGCACATTTGTTAATTTTGCCGCACATTTATTAATTTTTCCGCACATTTGTTAATTTTGCCACACATTTGTTAATTTTTCCGCACATTTATTAATTTTTCCGCACATTTATTAATTTTGCCGCACATTTGTTAATTTTTCCGAGACGGCCTCATGTAACTGTTTTTATAATCTGTAATTGTAAAAAACTGTAACTTTTGTCCGGGACTCCCTTCAATCAGAGGTTCTTAATCTGAATGGGACTTTCCTGGTTAAATGAAGGTTCAATAAAAGTGAAAATGATTTGATAAAACATAAGAACATGATGCATAAAGATGAAAACTCAAACCAACAAATGAAATATCAGAAAAATGCTGTGGTTTTATTCCATTGTTAAACGTGACTTGACATTAACTCATAAATATGTTTAGTGTCACAGAAAGTGTTTGTTCTTTTTACAGAACTCACAAAACCATCTCCGTCAAACACGTCGTTATTAATCTGTGTTTTTAGGATGAATCAAAGCGTTCATGAGATTTTAATAAACTATAAACTATACTTTAGTGATTGACCCGGAGCCTTAGACCAGCTTCTTTATTATGCTAAACTTAAAGCTGCACTAACTGACTTTATTTTAGTTTCATTAGTTAAAGTCTATCCATGTCCACGCAGTGCATTGGGATAAATGTCCTTTTGAAGAAAAAGTAGCGCAAATTTGTGCTGACGTGACATTATATTTTAGATCGATATATTTTTGATGAAACAAGGAAGAGATGTGTTTCGGGTCTCAGATTGTGACCAATCACAGCGCACCACTAGCCCCCACTTTCATGAGAAATCTACAGGTCCGTTAGCATAGACGGCTGAGTTAGCACAACAAGCGGCGGAGCTAACCTGAAACTTCCTCGTCTTCATCACCGGTTACTGCTTACACAGCGAGACAGCCAATAGAAAGTCTCGTTCCTCCGCACTTCCCGGTTCTATCGTTCTATGGTCACGCCATCCACGTGCAAATCCATGTCCATGTATTATCCATATTGGGAGACGCTAGCTCCGTCAACAACAGTGGGTGTGTGTGGGGGGAGATAGCTTCGTGGGTGCGGGGAGGGGAGCAGAAAGAGAGAGGCCAGAGAGTCCACGGCTTCAAAATCCCAAAGTCAGTTAGTGCAGCTTTAAGAGATTTTATACTAGCTTCTTTATTATGCTAAACTTAAGTGGTTTTATACTAGCTTGAAGCATTATATTGAAGCATTTCCAGCATCTACAGCCAGTTTTGTTAGTTGTTAATTGTTTGATCCCTGTGTGCTCTTACTACTGTCCGGTATGTGCGCTGCAACCACGGAATTTCCCCACTGGGATGAATAAAGGAACATCTTAGCTTCTTTATTATGCTAAAGCTAGAGATTTTATACTATCCATCCATCCATTTTCTACCCTTTAATCCATTTCTGGGTCAGGGGGGTGGCAGTCAGAGATGCCACCCAAGTCTCATAGCACCAGCCCCTCACTGACCCTCTGCAGGTGGTGAGTCCACAGGAGGCTGCTCTCTGAGTGTGAGCATAGCCTTGATCTTTCAGTGGGGTTTGGGCAAAGTGGGGTTAAGTGTCTTGCCCAAGGACACAACGACAGCAGTCATCAGTGGGAGTCGATGGAGAAGGTGCAGAGGTGGGAATTGAACCCACAACCTTCTGGCCTTAAGGCCAATGCTCTACCAACTGAGCTACTGTCGCCCTCCGAGATTTTATACTAGCTTCTTTATTATGCCAAAGTTAGAGTTTATAATGCTAGAGTTATTGTTTTCTCTTGTGCTGTGTGCTCCTCAATAAAGAATAATCTTAATCTATAACTCCACATAATCTGACAGTTTCAAAGTAAAATTCTCTGTGAAATACGTTTACAGTCTCTTTGGTTATAAGACATGAGTTTGACAGATTCACGTACAAAAGGATCTCATCATTGTTAGGGTTCATAAAGTAATGTTTGATCGTTATGTACAACTTTATCACAAACAATATTGAATAAAGATCCCGCTCCTGAGCTACAGACTCAACAAAGTGACGTGTTTTAGTTCTGTTGAGTCCAGTGATAAGTGGTGATTATTATTAGTAATTAACTTGTAGTATATGTCATAATGGTCATTTTCTTTTCAGACCGCAGGCACTTCCGAATGTGTTTTTTATGTGTTCTAAGTACTTGTGGTGTAAGGCGACCTTGAGAGTCTGTACACGCGACTAAGAAATGAAATCTATTTTTATTATATGACTTTTGCAGCGCGTCCTGTGAATCCAAATGTCATGTTATGTCAAAATGTTATGGTTAAAAAAGTCAAGTTCAAGCAAAAGGATCCATCAATCTATCCCTCCATCTCTGTCTATGTATTTGTCTGTCTGTCTATGTATCTGTCTGTCTGTCTGTGTATCTGTCTGTCTGTCTATGTATCTGTCTGTCTGTCTATGTATCTGTGTGTCTGTCTCTGCATCTGTCTGTCTGTCTATGTATCTGTCTGTCTATGTATCAGTCTGTCTGTCTATGTATCTGTCTGTCTGTCTATGTATCTGTCTGTCTGTCTATGTATCTGTCTGTCTGTCTATGTATCTGTGTGTCTGTCTCTGCATCTGTCTGTCTGTCTATGTATCTGTCTGTCTATGTATCTGTTTGTCTGTCTATGTATCTGTCTGTCTGTCTATGTATCTGTCTGTCTGTCTATGTATCTGTCTGTCTGTCTGTGTATCTGTCTGTCTGTCTATGTATCTGTTTGTCTGTCTATGTATCTGTCTGTCTGTCTATGTATCTGTCTGTCTGTCTATGTATCTGTCTGTCTGTCTATGTATCTGTCTGTCTGTCTGTGTATCTGTCTGTCTGTCTATGTATCTGTCTGTCTGTCTATGTATCTGTCTGTCTGTCTATGTATCTGTGTGTCTGTCTATGTATCTGTCTGTCTGTCTATGTATCTGTCTGTCTGTCTATGTATCTGTCTGTCTGTCTATGTATCTGTCTGTCTGTCTATGTATCTGTCTGTCTGTCTATGTATCTG